ATACCTATGACGAAAACCCTACTACCATTATACAAAGAACACTGAAGAAAAAAGCGATTTCTCTCGTATTAGTTTTGATTATTTCATATTTCCAGAATCATCACGCTTGCTGCGAGGAGACGTTTTGTAAGCGAGAAAACGCGCTAAATTAAAAGCGTGTGGCGACGTTATCTTGAAGTTGCCAAACTGCTCTGACGCCATTGATCTCTAAGGCGTCCACTGTCCGCTCGTGCAAATCATAATAATGTTTTCTGAGGGACCCAAACACTTTCCGTTTAGTCATTGTGGCCAAAATACGAAAGGACACATTAAAATCCGCAACACGCGAAGGTTTCCAAGCGAAATTTAAATGAAACAGTGACCTTGATTTTTATGATGGTCATTCGTTAGAATGACGTCTTCAAAGCTCAATTTATCTGTCTTAAGCAATTACTTCTTCCCCTTTAGTTCAGGTTTAGTTGTTCTTGTCTTCTTGGAGACGAATTGACTGCGCCGTTCGTTTGTGCGCTATAAGCGTGGAGTGAACACGTAAAACTATAACAATTTTCGTAGTGCCAAGTGCCTGTGTACAAAGCGGGAACATTGGCAGCATTAACCGCCAGTCTCGCTTTAAAACGTCAACTTGTTTCAACACAAGTGCTATAAACTGGAAATGGCTCCTCGTTATTACAGATAACGATGGTGTTGGTCTTCATCTTACAAGGAGCTGCTAGCAAGTATATCAGCCACTTTATCAACCGTACCGCTTTCTTTTCTCTCTCCCCTTGTGTAGGATAGCAAACCATATGTTTTAGTTCCTATACTTGTTTTCTCTGCATTTGTAATCTCTATCTCCTTCTTCACTCACTTGCTATAACATGTACGTTCAAGGCACTGTGTGCCAGCCAAATTTAACATCTAGATCAAGCTATCAATCAATCCATGTTAAGCCTCTGTGTGCCACCAGAGTGCCTTAGAGTATATTTGAAAGGCTGGCACTTTACTTCATGCTGGAGTAATGTGCCAGCACGTCCACGCAAGTGTATAGAGCATCACAGGACATATTAACAGAATTGCATTGAAGCTCGCCATCGACATGCGTTAAAAACTATTTGAAAGGTCGGCATTACTCCATACTGGAGTAATGTCACCATTTCAAGTCGATTCTATGGCAAGGAACTGACTTCGCCGGTATGCGTTGCACATGTTGGGTTGCTGGGATACAATAGGTTACAAAGAATATATTTTATGCACATTGCTCATTTCACTTCTTTTGAATTTCATGTGATTGTGAACATGGGCCATTGCCGACTTTTCAGCTAGGCAAAGTACAGGTTGTTAGCTTGGATACACTTTGCAATCGTCATGACTTTGACGGGCACACGTTTGCTTGTTGGACTGGGTGAAACTTATAAATCGGTCTGTTTTGATCATTATCAAGGTATACAAGGTAATTTGACGATATATGATTAAAGAGACCAGTCATTTTCATTCTGGCTTAAGGCATTCAAGATTTCAGTGTTCGCGAATTATGTGGGGGAATGCGAGTACCAAGCACAGAACTCCACTTTGTTTAGTAAATAGAATGTGACGACACTATAATGCATATTTGTACACGTTACTGCTACAACAATGGCAATGATTTTTCACTGTCTAGTGCAATAACATGAAATATTGTAGACCACTTCGCGGGCTGAACCAACATAACCAGAAACGCAAAGCCTTCCAAAAAAACAAAAAAAAAAATCTTGCAGTACAGGTGTGAATGCACGTCCCCTTTTAGATTGTCATAAATGTATTTCGAACCAAGAAGCCAGCCGCTACCGAATGAAGTTTTGATGGAAATTAAAAAAAAAGTACAAATAAGCTGTTCCATATGCTGGTAACTGTTACCCTTTAACACGCAGCCGTTGTAACTAAAACTGCTTATCAACGGAGAACTATTTTTATTTATTATTTACGATGAGAGTATACCATTCAGCCTCACCTCTACTTTGGTTTCAGATTTGATGCGCTAAGTGCCCTTCGCGGTTGCTTTGGTCTATACATCCTCTCTGAGTATGTTTGAAGATATGCCTATTGGTAGCATTATGTCGAATTCAGATAAGCTTCATCGGCTTTTGTAATGCTCTCCTTCATGTTAGTTTTGCAGGGGGAAAGGACTAGTCGACATTATATTGCATGGCAAGCGTCTTACTTCATGTAAAAGCAAAATAAGACATTAGGTTACTCAGTTTCTATATCAGACGTGGATGTGACAAACGCAGTTTTATGAACAAATAAAATTGGACCATCTTCCCAAAGGGAACCCTGATGGGATGCGAGGCCGCAGCGTTGCGCACTGGTGGCGTTGCGGGTTGAACGGCGCTAACGCGTGTGCTGCGGCGAGCGCCGGATGGTTCGTTCGAAGAAATGGCTGGCGTCTGGCTTGTAGGTGACACGTACAGACATGTTTCAGTGCGTACATTGGGCGCGCGTCAGGGACATTGTCCGTGCACCGACGAGTCGGTGGTGTAACGAGCGGCAGTCAAAACAAGTGTTGCAGGCGAACGAATGAGGCGGCTGCTGCGGGTGCCGCGGTGAGAGTGCGGCAGGCAGAGAGACTGACATCGGAGCGCGCTTCGAGGAAGCATGACGTAAATGCGCAGGAGCATTGGGACCTACTTGGCACCGCGCCAACACCTGTGGCGCGCGGTGCGCTCGTACGTAGGGACAGCGTTACACAGGCTAGTTAAGGGTCAGTTTCGCATCTTGAATGTTAATATCAGACTCTGTTAAAGGTGTTTTTTTATCTCGTTTAAAGAGACGCTCACTGTAATAATATTCATGACCTGTATTATTCCTTGTCGGGTCGTTGCCCCATTTTCAATGTTCGTACTAAGCTACGCCATTCTTTCTGCAGGTGGCGTGCTCCCGTCTGTGCTGCAGGAAGTCAAGGTGCCGATCGTCAGCAACGAAAAGTGCAAGAACATGTTCCTTGCAGCTGGAAGGCACGAATACATACCCAACATCTTCATGTGTGCTGGCTTTGAAGAAGGCGGCAGGGACTCATGCCAGGTAAGCGGTCATCGTGAGACACACTAGAATCTTTTGTTTTTGTTAGACGCACACTTACAACCCGTCACCAACCCAACAGACTAATCAACTGTTGAGTTTTCTAGACAGCCTGCAAGGAGCTGATTATTTGGACTTAAGAACCGAGTGAATCAACTTAAGCAATTCGTTTAATTATCCTGCCGTGTATTTAGGGCTATGTGAACGGTCGTGAAATATTGATGTATATATCGTTCGTTCACCTACGAAAAGCCCGGACAAGTGCTGCACAGATTGAATGACCGTATTAACATTGTCATTTTGACATACCATTGACTCGCTTACATGTTTTTTTTTGCATACCTACCCCTCGTTTCAGGGTAGTTGCTTCAAAAGAAATTTCTAGATTATTCGCTCCTATGTCCGAGACACTGGTTGTTAAGTCAGACAATTAAATTCTGAAACCCCAAAACGCCTTATACAAACTTAGGTGTCTTTTTAATGCAAATGGTACCAATACACTACCACAGGGAGAACTAGGGAAAGGGCCACAATGTTTTATTCTTTAGGTTAACGTTTTTCTCTTGCCTTCAATTACCTTTGAGGGTTTACCAGAACAATTCTTCATCAAGTTTCTTTTGTAGCATCATTGCCTATTCGGAAGCCTATACAAGAAGCTTGTTGTTGCAAGTGGTCTATTGCATGCTTGTTAATCTGAATCATCCGTCATTTGCATGTGTGCCCCGCCATGATGTATTAGTGGCTAAGGTACTCGGCTGCTGACCCGCAGGTCACGGGATCAAACCTTGGCTGCGGCTGCTGCATTTTTGATGGTGGAGAAAACGCTGTAGGCCCGTGGGCTCAGATTTGGGCACACGGTAAACACCAGGTGGTCAAAATTTGCGAAGTTTTGCAGAACGGCGTCTCTCATGCTCAAATGGTGGTTTTGGGACGTTATACACCACATATTATTCAATCAATCATTTGCATGCTGACATAGCTTGTGTGTATTTTGTTTCGACATCAAAACACACATTTTTAGAATCGCATGCTTCGTCGTTCTAAAGCATAGCCGGCATATCGTAAGTTAGCCAGCTTTGTACCGCTAATTTTCGTCCTTTCTCTTTGGTTTTCTTTATCGCAATTTCTGAGTACGTATTTGCTGTATAACACCTCTGAACTCCGTGTATACCCTGCATAAACTATAGAAAAGGATTTAAATCTTGTCTCACATATTTTCGAATATTAAGAGATGGCCTGTGCTGTGACATGCGCCTCAAGGTGGTAGGCCACCTTCAAAAGTATTTTTTTTTTCGCGAAATGAATTTTTAGGGTTTTGTTTTTCTCGCACGCCCAAACATTCACATATATGTTGCAACAAACATTATCCTCCCAGCGTCATTAGTTTGCGAGTTACAGCAAGTTTTCTATACCCTATGCTCTTATAGCAAAACCGAAACCACATTTCCGACTGTGGTTTCAGTTTCGAAAAATCGCTTTCAAAAGCAAGTGTTGTCTCGTCTATCTATTCAAAATGCTTTATGAATTTTATTGTGACTGTTATATAAAATTATGTCATTAAATACAACTTTGTGTTTAAAAGTCTTCGTTCATCTCTAACAACAGTCACAAGGGGAACGCACAATGCTCATCGGAATTTTTGTTGTTTGCCTTGGTCAGGCTACGTCAGGCTTCGTTCTGCATTTTTTCCACGTGTCAACGCTACTAGGGCTGTATCCTTAGGCCACCTGGACCATATTATGAACAGCATATTACGACCGAAAAGCTGGTGCGGATACCAAAGGGTCGAAGCACTCGGCCAAGGGAAATTTATGTACACAAAGGAGGACTTCAAAATGATGTGTTCAACAAAGTTAAAACTGTCTACAGTGATCTGTGCCCTGATGAACTTCTAATGAAGTGCCTTCATGGAAAGACTCAAAATGCTAATGAGTGTTTCATTGGTCTAATATGGCAGCGGGCACCCAAAGAGGTCTACGTAAGCTTGCCTACAGTAATGTTTGCCTTGCATGATGCTGTGGCACACTTTAATAATGACAGTGTAAGCATCCTTGATATCCTGAGGCAAGCTGGCATAGAACCAGGGTACCACACGATGAAAGCTTGCGTCGCCAGGGATCACCTGCGCATTCGGAATGCTAAACGCAAGTCAGCGGATAGGACAAAACAGGCTAGGAAGAAAAGACGAGCAGCCACCCGAACAAAAAGAGACAATAATGCTTCCGCAGAAGGACCCAGCTATGAATCTGATGCATTTTAGGCCTACATGCGAAAATTGTGACCCTTTTTACAAGCTCGGAAATCTTTTGTTTACGTTTTTCTGAAAATAACAATTTGCTCCAAATGTTGCGACGCAAACTTTCATAACGTATTTCTCAGCGTATACTTTGAACTGAAATTTTGCACAATGATTTACAACATACATATTTGTGCAGTGAACTAGAATAAAAGAAATCCATCAAATATTTTTCAGTTCACAGCTGAATTCTCCAACAGGTTCAGTCTAAATTGGCTCTTTTTCCCCGTTTTTTTTTGTTTTTTAGCATAACTTCCTTGATATTCACTGCATAATATTTATTCTAGTTGACTGCATAGCTCCAGTCATTAGTTACCCAAATGTCAAAGTTTTACTGAATAAAGCCACCCATTAGTTACTTATCACAGCTGGCATGTCTAGCAATTTTAACGCAATGTTTGACAAAGATCATCTCCCAATAAATAAATGTTCAATATTTTGCACTGTAAATAGCTAGGTAAATTAAATAAGACATGCTGGTTTTGAGGAAAAAGTTATTTCAACGCTACCTGCCCTTAAAAAAATTTTGTTTTTGAGTGACCTACCACCTTAAAGGAGTACAGACATAATTTGAAGACACTGCGATGCGGACATTTTTCGTTTGCTTGGTACACAGTGTACACGCTCTCCGCACACCGGAGTCAGAGAACGCATATGAAATATTTTAATTTTATTTTAAAGTTTTCACAACTGAGCATCTGGAACCAGCTCCAATGCAATATAAATTATCCGGATGAGTGAAGACCGTCTCTGAATTAGCGATCTCTGCGTCCTGTGCGCAGTCACAATCTAAAAAATCGCTGTCAGAGGGACTGGATGACAATGCCCTCGTTGTTTACAGATGACCGATTTGCCGCTAGTACGTTGCCAGTTGCTATCTTCCCATGACGTCGCACTGCTTTAACACGTTCCAGAGAAGCTATTCCCTTAATAACGGAACAGAAAGTGTATTTTTCAGGCGGCGAAAATAAAATATATGCAATGCATTTTCAAGCACCACATTACTCGTTTTAGGTTTCTCGACACCAGTGCTTTTGTTTCGAGCAACAATCCAAAGATTTTAAAAATCATGTCAGCACTCCTTGAAGCACTTTTCGCACAATTTCTGCGGTTTCTTTTAATTGTCTTGTTTTAGTAAAATTGTGCGGTATTCGAGAATGGGACGTTTTGTGAGATATACCCAGAGCTTGGAGTCGGAAGCTCGGCTATAGCTCATTAAACAAAAGCAGAAATGTTTTTGCTCATGTCCATTTCTTTATGAATCATGTCATGTTTTAAATGGTAGCTTTTACCAATTTCTTTTCTAAACGCTGCTTTTTCTGTTCTGATGTATTGTTCTAGCCTTTTTTTACTTTTATTTTGAGAAGTGATTTCCTAATGCGACATTAGAAGAAATATTTTGCGTCTCTAATTTTGTGTAGATATGTAAAAATGAATAATGTTCAGTTCATTGAACATGGTGCTGACCTCCAAATTCATTGTCATAATATAATAATACCTTCTCTTGACCTTGATCTAAAGTTTTAGTTATTTTAATTATTTCATTGAAGGTTATCACACGTGTCAAGCAGGGATTTGCTCGTTCTATATAGCTATTGATTTTATGTTTCGAATAAGTGCTCAGAAAGTGAGATAAAGAAAACCTACCTGAAATTTTGAAGCAATCTCACGCACTTTCGCATTCTCTTTTACATATAATAGGCGTTCGCGTGAAGCGGTGGCATGAACAAATTCGTTAAGTAACCTCAATTATTGTTTTATTAGTTCGCATGAAATCAAATCAAATATCTTACGCGCATAAGCGTGCTCAGGGTTTTCCTTGAAAGGGGGGGAGGAGGGGGGAGCTGAGGTTTGTCGCAGCGCTGCCCTACTGTCATGTCAATGTATGGTGGCTGGCTTTGCACCCCCCTCTCTCCCTCTGCCTCCCCCACCTCCCGGTACGCTCACCTATGCTCACGCAATAAGTCATATGTATGGCTGAAATTAAATATTTCATTTGGTCCGGTAACCAAAAGCAAACGTGTGGATCTGTACAAGCGTTGAAAGCTTGATGAACTACAACAATTCTTTGAAGGTGGTGAAATCCATCAGAAATATATCAAGTCATAGATGAACGACAAGATCTTCTGTGAAAGTAGCCGTTACAGATCATAGCACGACACAGTATTCTTACAAATTTGGCAAGGAAGCCTCACCATTTGTGTCAAAGCCTTCCAAATTGTGTACGAAATCGCTTGCATATTTTTTATTATTTAATTCAGTATGGTGTCCATCTCATAAAAGGCCTATAGATCTGCACTGGTGTGTGACCAATCTACAGCTTCAGCTTTCCAGATCAAAATAAAGAAAAAAACAGGTTTTGAACACATACAATACACTCCCAAAATCAACCGTAAACTAAAGCAATCGTCACTTAAATTTATCTCAAGTTTTATTTATACAGTCGCACTCAGTATAGCTTGCAGGATGGGAAGGCATGACCCCACGTGATTAATGATTGCGTACGGCTTAAACTTCCCCTCATTTTAGCAACAATTGACATTTTTCTATCTGGGAACATGCCGAAGTGAGGGCGCTGCTTAGTTGTGGAAATAAGGTAGTCGAGCATTATACTGTAGCACGTGAGGCTTCCCGCTCCCATGTTGCAAGTCTTAGCCAGTGGGACTGTACTTTTTTTATTATAGCTGTCTACAAAAGAATAACCGTGAACGATGTCAACGTGTACATTAGCATTCGTATCGTGCACAAATTCGCGCCGACGCAGATCACAAGCAGAGCCCCACTATTGTTGTGATTTATGGTTCTAACCACTAATTGATTTTATAGCTATGAACTTATGCTAAATATATTGCTCTTACTATGGATGCGCACTGACACCTCTGGCAAAAGCTTTTCTTTTTTTCTGCACGAGCGTGAATGTTTCTTTGCACGGATGTGACATTTTCTTATGAAGACTTGGCGCTTTTCTTTATTCAACAGCACACATAAAGTCGGAAGAGCTTCAGCTTGTATGTAAAAGTGATTCCCTTTGTGAAATACCATCAAGTAAAAATGGTTTGCCGTAGCTACTTCTATTGACTGTTACTTTAACCATTCAGTACATAAAACTAGTGTGTAGCGGCCTGCAATATTGTATACTGCAGTGATCGTAGCGAGTGACGCTAGAGCATAATCGCCAACATGCAAGCATTTCAAAATATCGCTTCTGAATAAATCACTAACACAAAAATATTGTAAACCTAGTTTAATTGAACAATGTATGCGCAAGATGTAGTTTCCCGTTTCGCAAGTGTTCGCTCAAGGGTCCGATAACCCAGAAACACGAATTTTCACACGTCAAAAAGGAGAAAAATAAGCTAGAGCTCTTAAATGTATCCGAATAGATGGCAATATTAGGTTCTCTTAATGTCATAGTCTCCAATTCCATTTGCCATGTCATGCACACTCGGCCGGCACCAGTGCAGTGTCCTCATGCTCAGCAGAGTAGCACCATTGCCTCTGGGTTGCTGCGAAGAGCTATAGGGGCTTACATATTCTTGTGAACATTCATATAGCGTAGGGTTCACATTCCCGTTACTTGTCAAAATGCTTGTGACAGTTTATAAGTGTCCTGTCAATATGGCGATCGAAAGAACATGAAAATTACGAAAAAGGCACGTGGATGCATCGTAGTGACATTCCTTTTGGCTAGATATTTGTTTTGGCCTTACATGGCATTTCATTTAGAATAAACATATAAAGTTGCTACCAGGGCACGTAGTGGAGTTCTAAGCACTTATTAATTCTAAAAAAAAACAGCCGTGTACATGAACATATCTGAGTAGTGTCATTTCTTCATTCAGTAGTATCAAGCAATGATCATTATTCTAAGAAAACGCTGCTGCACTCTGAAGTCATGCGCATGTTCTTAGCGAGGTCTTCCGAATTTGCATAAAATGATATAGCCATCCCAATTTCTGCGATTCTAAATAAATTCGATGCCACACTTACTCCTAATAATTTTGTACTTTAAACCTCTAGCATATCATATACAGCTTCTGATGCTCACAGCTACACTCTGTTCCTCGGCTCAATCTTGCAGGGGGATTCCGGGGGCCCACTGCAGATACAAGCCAAGGACGGCCGATGGTTCTTGGCTGGCATCATATCGTGGGGTATCGGATGCGCCGAGCCCAACCTGCCGGGAGTCTGCACTCGGATATCCAGGTTCAAGGAGTGGATCATCAAGAGCACCACCTGACCTCTCACAACGCGACAGTCGTGGTCGTTTCACAGTTTCAGTGCATCACCCATCGTATCCGCTATCGAGGCGGAAGTTTTGTCATGCGCCGCAGGACGACGTCGGGCATCATTTCCGGTCTGCAGCGTTGAATGGACAACTTGACGTCGTCAAGAGGCGCAGGCACTGCTAGTTTGTTTTGCGTCACCCAAGAGCGTGGTGAAACAGACCGCCCTACACAAGTCAGAATGCAATGCACCGCCTGTTCTGTTTTTTTTCTGTTTCTTTTTTAAATCTCGTTACATTACGCAGACCACTTGCCGTGACATTCGTGAATGGCTCTGTGAAGTGACTGGAAGACGTGTGCAATGCTGCCCAGAAAACTGCTTCGCTTCTATTTCCACGCATTTCTTTGTGCTGTGACCCACATAGTTATTCAACAACTGACGCTTCACGCCTCATCCGCACTGTCGGATATGCACAAAGCTGTAAGTAATACACCCGCGAAGTGCTTCGTTAAGTTAAACAATCAACATCGTGAGTAATGAACCTAATATAATAAAGGAAATATGTCGCACGGAGTTAAAGAGTTGATACACGTAGTTATAGTGTATGAAAAATCAAAACTGACGTGACTGGACGCGTTCAAACAAAGGGAGGAGTAGAAAATGTTACGGTGGTTCGAGGAAAAAGCAGTAAATTGTCATCAAATTAATTTTGAACACCAGCAGACCATAATCATGCGTACCTCAGGCTAGCTGGAAACATATACGTGCAAAAACTCCCGAAATGCATATATAAAATTACTCTCGACAAAAATTATGAATGAATGAAATGCCACCAGTGCGACGGGAAGAAAAAAAATCATATCAGCACGAAAGCTGTACAGGAAGCGGGGAGCAGTTTTTTGCCCACCCTGTATAGTGACGCTCGAATTGACGGGTGGATAAGCGCTATAGCGTACTAAGCATGCAACCTGCACGATGTCTTTGAAGAGAAAGGAAATAGCCGTTTGAGAATGCAATGGCACCCCTCCCCTCCTCCTATTTCTTCCTTCTCACCTATTCATTTCTCTTGCTTGCCCTCGCTTCTCTTTTTTAGCTCTTTGCTATATTATACAACACACGTTGATGTCATGCTTCACCTCGTCCTTCGTCTTTTTTATCCGCCTCAATTTTCATTCCTACCCCTAGCTGTACTGTCCTGCCCACGGCTATGCTACACTTCCTCCATTCCCCCCTAACCCTCTTTTCCCTTTACTCTTGCTATACTGCATGGCCACGCTGCGCTTTACCCTCCCCTCATATTTCCTCTTAACCGACCCCTCTCCCCATCACTGCCTGCTCTTCACTCTCACTTTTACTCATCTTGCTATACAGCAGTACACGCGACTATGCTATACTGTACACTTCCGTCCTCCCTCCCGACCCTCTTATCTATCCACACGATGCTATATTATACTGCGTACGGGTGCATGCTTTACCCTCCCCTGCACTTAACGCTGCACTGAACTCATTCAGAATTATTCGTTACATATTCTTGCTTGTTAAAGACGTGTTTTTAATACGCGCTTTGGCTTGGGTTTACCGCAGTGCTTATTTCACGTGTCACACATTGGCGTCGCAGCCGAAGCCAAGCCGCCACTGGATAAACCCCCATCGAAAGTAGGCGTTCGCTCCGGTGAACGCGCTCGCGCTATCACCACATTGACCCTAATGTCAACACAACGCCGCTTGTTCGGCTCGCCGTTGTTGCAAATGTTCGCCAGCGTTTGCAGGGTCCTCCCACTACGGGCACTTGTATTCCTGTTCACAATATAGCACGGCTTGGTCGGCTGCCGGAACATCGATATGCAGTGGCTGCTGGCACTCGGCCTCCCGGGCCGGTTTTTGTGCCCGGACTACAGCGTCAGCCGGCATGGCTAATGCGAGCTCTCTCCCGTTTCCACTGTGGGCACTCTTTTACGCTGTAAGGGAGTTTGTAGGATCTGTGGCAGGTGGAAGCTCTCGATAGAAAGTGATATGCGTGTTCTCGGCGCCACGGCTGTAGCGGTATGGACGACGTCACTCACAGAGCACCCAATGGCGCACGTGCTTGGATACGACGCTGAGAACGACGTAACTGATAGCACAGCCAATGGAGAGTGCTCGTGACACGTATGCCGAATGGTTTTTCATGTCTCCGAGCCACGTACAGCTTTCTCTGTAAAAAAACAAAGAAAAAAGCGAACCTAAGGTGTTACACCGCTGTAGTGACCCCTCGTGACGCCTCACGGAAGTTTCACTTGATCCGAGCGGGTCCTCAAGAAACTACGAGAGGCGCACTCGACAAACCAATATGCTGGGCTCTCTAATGCCGCGTCGAGTTGCCGCCTCCTTGCCCAACTACACTTCAGTCACTCAATACGCACGGAAGTGCGCGTACGGGTTCCCGAAGTTTGGAAATACTCCTCGCGTCTGCGCCCTCTTCCGACTAACATGACCCGAGACGACCACAGTGGCAGATACCTCGCACAGGCGGAGGCCTTGGCTCTCCACGACGGTGACAAATTCGGCGTATTCTACGTGGACACCTCCAGCCCTGACCACGGAGGTTGGTACACGGCCGCGGTCGTTCATAAATCCACCACTCTCCTTCGGGGCACAAAACATGGAAATCGCCATCGCGCTTGCCGCCGCCTATCTGGACTCGAGGGCCATTATCACCGACTCAAAGGGTGCCGGCCGCCATGTAGAACAGAGCTACATTCTGCACTTAGCTTATACAATTTTGGAAAACAGTCAGTACTTATAGATGCCCCCTCGCATCGAATGGTCTCATACGGGCCTCGATGGTAATGAGTCGGCCGACGCCACTGCCCGTGCACCGGGCACAATCCTCGTCCCCTTAACGATTTGGAGTTTGAACCCAATGCCGCTTAACATTTAAAGAAGTCAATAGGTTTTATCAATTCGTCCATCCGATCTATATCCCAAACCCGGTAAGGGTCTCACAAAGATGGAGGAGTGAACCCCCTTTCACTTTTACACCAAAACTTTATTGTGCCCACCAGTCCTGAAACACTTTAACCCCACTTGCGCGGAAAAGTGCCCACACTGTGAGGAAAATTCCTGTAGCGTTTTGTGGGCGTGTCGAAATCACCTGTCAACCTCACCTGCCTACCTAACCCTTCCAGGGAGAACTGCAGAGGCAGCCCTGCTCGGCTGCTCTGACCTGACGGCCCAACGGGCCTTAGTTGAGCGTGCCCGGGCCATGGCCGACGCCAGTGGGTCCCCATAAAGGAGTGCCCACCTAGTGTTTGTACGAGACGGCCCGTTGAGAACCACTTCCCAACCTCCTTGTACATAGCTTCCAGAATTAAAAAAAAAATCATCATCATCACCCCAAAGGGTCTCGGCAGCGATGACATATTATTCATCACAGCCCGTAAAATGTGTGCTTTGTCGTGTATGATTGCATCGACACACGCAAGCCGAACGCAAGCACAAACATCCACCACGAATACTGTGATGTGCCTGTTGGCTCAAATTTGTATGACAATGCTGGGACCTAAAGTCCTCTTCACAATGCTTGGCCAGGGCCACAGGTAGGTACAACATTTATTGCGCAGGTGCAGTTTACAATGCCACCTTTAGCTTTGATGAGGGGTTCTAAATGTTTGGTGACATGACCAACTAACTCAAGTTTCTTTCTATTGGTACGTATCTTTTTCCGATTCTAAGTGTGCAAAACGTTACATAATGTATTTTGGCATTGCTCTATCTACGTGTCACAATGAAATTAAGCCACAGGCTTCTACGCTGGCAAGGGTCATGGTAAAAACAGTTGGCGAAACTAGTATATGCTGCACAGAGTGCACTGCATCATCAGCAACTGCTAAAAGAGCAGTTGCAGATTTTGTCACGACTACTGGACCTAATGCACTTGTCCGAGGCTACTCGGCGTGCTACTTGGTTATTGTGATACGCATTCCTTCTTCTTATCTGAAACATACTAATTCAGCATCATTTTTTTCCTCCTTACTTTTGCCCAGCGCATAATGGCATGCAACTGTTCACTATAGCTCAGCCCAATCTTTCCGCCTTCTTCTAATGAACACTGTCTCTATTTCGATGCACTATTCGAGAGTCTTTGTTAAGTACAATGGTAAAGCATCGCTGCGTTACATTATTCGTTAGGGCGCTAAGCTTTTCCTTCTGAGGCATCTCTCAGGCATTACTACATTGCAAGGCAACCTGCAGAGCATTATGTAGTAGATATCGGGGTGAATATGCCAAAACCATGCTATTAGGACTTGTTTAAGCGTGTTTGCGGTGATCTTATGCTTCTAGCTGCTAAAACTATAATCGGAATAAATATAACCCAGAGTTTCAGCTGTGGTGAAGACGTCAGTGATTCTTATATTTATTTTATTTCAAGGTATCTAAAAGCCCCAAGGGGAGCACTAAGTAAGAGTGGGGGGACATCATATAAAATGTATCTATATAAGCATTCCAAACTTGAAAACGAACAAAAACGATTGCAGAACAACATATTGAGCAGTCCAATAAGCCGAAAGACTACAAGTAATGGAAGTCGAAAAAAAAAGGTGCCTTGCTTGAGCACAAGAAAACGAACGGTAAGAAAGGCGTATTACTCGATCCCATAATTCAGTAATTCACATTTCTTGGTCACGACAACGCAGTCTACGAAGTGTCAGGGAAAATTACCACAGTCCGCGTACCACAACAGCCAATCAACACGACTTACACCGTATATACGACGAGCCCTATGTAGGCATATCTGTAGTCTATTATTCCTCTGATTGCCTGAAATGGTGAAACCTATTTAGGCAGTAGAGCTATACCAAAATTTTTGATTGATTGATGGCGTTTAACGTCCCGAAACGACCATATGATAATGAGAGACGGCGTAGTGGAGGGCTCCGTAAATTTGGAGCACCTGCGGTTCTTTAACGTGCACCCAAATCATACCAAGATGTTTGCCTTGAATAAATGAGTCAGACAAAAAGGACCATGACACCTAACTTTAGATCATAATCTGTCTTAGGCGGGTTAATCCTTTGAGCATTCACAAATAAATTGATCAAACACTACGGCAATTTGGCAATAACTTAATTTATTCTTGAATATTTTAACGAACACATGAGACGCCAGAGAGTCGGGCAACACAGTCGCACTCCCGAGCCATTACGTAAGCAGCTTAATGTTCAAGCGTCTACATTCTGGCGAACGATATTGTTTCATTGAGCTGCGCTTGAAATCGAGATAAATTCGCTTTATTTTTGGTTTGCGCTGCAATCGAACAAGTTGCAGTGACGGAAGTTGTGGTAGAAGACGACGGCACCACTCCCTGCTGCATGAAATGTCACTGGCGCCATGGCAAAATGGCGGTCACTGGCGGGGGGTGGAATTCGCAGTCATTGTCTTCTCGGGCCTGTTTTGTACTGAAATATTTTTTTACGGTGCGCTTTTCACATCAGTGTAGGCATAATATACCCTCTACTTCTGGGTTTTGCTCAAAAACGCAAATGGTTGGGAACCCTTTTATGACCCGTCTAAGTAGGCTTACTACCTTATCAATTTAAACCGCAA